TGGATTTCTGACGAGCCACCAAGTTTCAGTCTCAAGACCGGTACTAAAGCGCACACTCAGAACATGGCAAAATGACCGAGAGTAAAATTGAAAAGAAAACTTTGTGGGTAAAGAAAGTAGTGGAAGCGATAGGCGATAGTTGACAGGGGCACCCAACGTCAGTTTCCTCCTAACTGTATTGAAAACACTTTCATGCTATCCAAATTACTAAGTTTCATGCGGCGCCATATAATTATAAAAATTGTTCGGTCATCCAAAGGGCAACTTGAGTATTCTTTTCGATCGAAATTACAAGGGCTTCAAAATTATTTTTTTCGAGAATTTTGAAATTTTCTCTGATTCCTTCTCTATCACAATTTCGTATCCGAAAATTTTGATCCCCTTTATATGGAGAAAACCTGTCTCGTGTAGGAGAGTCACCCTCCCAGCCGAGAGAAAAAAAAAAGACATTGACCCCAACCAGCCTTCGGGCATGCTCTAATTGTCTCGCTTTGGCTATGCAAGCCCTTTACCGATACGGATCGGATTTGATCTAGACGGTCGGACCGAAATGTCTCCTTCCATTTGACAAAATTATTTTCCCCAGGACCACTGATCTGTATCCTGCTTACAAGCACTATAACCAAACTCGCGGTGGCTTTTGTTTGGTCGGTGCAACTGGAATGTACCGTTCCACTGGGCACGTGGATTTTCCGAAAAGCGCGTAAAGTGCTTAATATGGAGAAAAGTTGGCCTGGCTAGGAGGCTGACCCTACCATTGCAAAAGGGTGACTGGACAAGGTGGGTCAGCCTTCCAGCCGAGCCAACTTTTTGTCATTTAAACGGTTCGCCATGTTTTGTAAAGAAATGCGTGAAAAGTTGCCTCTTCCAGGGAAGCTCGGGTAAGCTGGTGACCCTTCTGCTCGAGACAAATTTTTTTCATATAAGCGGGGCCTAAATTTTAGTTCTTCACATTAATCGCCATAGTCCAGCTGACGCACATCTTTTTGTTTTTTGTTCTATAAAGTGGAAAACTGAAATTAAAATATACAGTGGAACCCCAGCGTTGGGCCATAAAATCCTGGTCGTAATAGCGAGGTGGTGGCATTGAAGAGGTCTTCAAAATAATAAAATGACTCGGAGATTTTCATGTCTGGGTCGAAGGACTATGGGAGGTGAGACAAGAGGTGGTCGTATAAACGGGGTGGTCAAAAGGCGGGGTTCCTCTGTATATAAACAGAAACAAGAGTTTGACGATCGGACAACCATGTTCAGATCAGGAAAAAAATACTGAAAGATAATTGCAGAATGTTTACGAAAACTGTTATCCAAAACAATGGAACTTACATCGGCGAGAGAAAAGACAGCCGCCTGATAACGCGGTGTAATAGCTAGAGATTGAAGCCTGAAGTCAATCAAAGGCAAATACAAGGCAAGAGGGGGGAAGTTGACGTGAAAAACTATATTTAATTTTTGGACTTATTGAGTATTGTATAGAAGCATACTTTAAGAAAACTTAGGAAAAAAATTTAAAAAAAAAACATGATTTGGATTGTTAGTAGCATAATATGCTACTTCCGGCAAGAACATTAAAAAAAGGCATCGCTCAAATGGTTAGATTGGAAAGCCTGTGAATACTGTCACGCAACACTTTTGACCAGACATTTATGACCAAAGGTGTATCGGCAGCCCGAAAGTTTCACTATCAAAATCGCAGTTTTTGTGAGACCTAGAATTTTTAAATGGCAATGGATGTAAAAGTTTGACTGCGGAAAAGAAAGGCCAGCAATACCAAGAAATGTTCTGTTTGAGGTTATTTTCACGCACCACGTTTCCTCGAGGTTTTGGATCTTCTGTTGATTAGCTTGGGACTAGGCGCAATGCCAGTTAACCAGAACGGGAAAACACAGTGAGGTAACAAAAATTATCGTCTCAGTACATTTAATGTCTTTAATACAAGTGCGATTGTGTGTTACGTTTCTCTTGGAGAGTCCAGCCATCGTGGCTTGTCGAGCAACAACCAACCGACGTTCTTGAAAAGTCTCATATTTCAAGCAAAATTTATTCAACTTCGGAAGGTTCGTGTGAAGTACAAATTTAATTACCCAGGCCAATTCTTACATATGTTTTAGCACAATGTTTAAATGACTTATGCCTTGAGTTTCAGGAAAAACCAAGGTGTAGCACATGCCTAAAAATTAAATCGCGACTTGAAGCCTAAATTTAAACTTCGTTGAGTTGAAAAAGAACCAAAACTAAAATAAAATTGTTTACCTTCCACATTATCGTGAAGATAAGAATTAACCGCCATACTAGGGCTAAAATCCTTTATAAATTGATTTATCGGGGAATATTTTACCACGCTTTCTTCCTTTTTGCGTGCGAGCGAAGTTTTGAGACCGCCTCATTTTGCCTCAAATTTTGGTTGTTTTCAAGTCGCCGACCACGAAAATTGATTTTGTCGATTTTCTCCAAATCCAAGCGGCCTTTTGAAAAACAAACTACACCACGTTTAATTTCTTACTTATACCTATCTATGGACAAGATATGAGCGATGATTTTTTGACTGTGGCCGCGAAATTTCGATTTTGCTCGATTTTTACAGACATTTGCTCTTAAGTAGTACCACTTTCAAACTTGGTAGTTTTACTAATTTTATGGCGCTCTTTCCAGTAGTGTCGACGGATTTTCCCTAACTGGTTCATATCAAAAGTTTAAAAAAATCGTGAAAAGGCCTATTGTATTCCGCTGGTGCTCTTCGTTTTTGTGGTCTAAAAAAGTACCAAGAGTATATCGAACGTATCGAACTGCCTTGGACATTGGATAATTCTGGTCGTCGAGCTCGATTTGCCCGTAGTGTATTGAAAAAGATTACGATGAAGTTATTGCAAATTACGACCGCTTGATTAATTACAAGTTGCGACAACTCTTTTATGGCAACTGTGACGGGTGGTAATTACAAATTGCGACAGGTGTTGTATATAGAAATGATGACAGCTACTACAAATTACGACACCAATTATTACTGACAAAATTACGACAGAGCATTGCAAAGAAATATTCTTCAACACTTACAAAATTCTTGACAGTTACGAAGAGTTTTTGTAACCCATCCAGATCCCTTCATCAGTGTCGTTTGCTGTTATTCGAGATCGTAGCCTCGTTTTGATGAGCGGAATCTTCACTCTGTTATACGACAGGGCAGTTTTAACCGATACCTGAGTAAGGAAAGCATCTCCGTCGTTACTCTTTTAAATAGTCGTGATGTGTAAATAAAATTAGATTTTTGCTTTGCAGATTTCTAGTTTTAAGATAAAAGAAAAAGGCAAGGCCCATTCGACAGAGAGATAACTTGATATGATTGCCAATATTTCGAAAGGTACTCTTTCTCACCCTGGCCTGGAGAAAGAAAAAGAAAGGCAGTTCAGTTAAAAATATCACACCAGAGATTGTTTTTCTTTAATTACCTTGAAGCTAAAAGTGTCAGTTACCGGCCGCTAAAGGATCCGATATAAGGATCTACTTAGTTTGCCCTTGCTGGAGAATAATGTGTTGTGGTGAAGGAGGATGGAAATGATTGGCTGCAAAACCGTTCAAGCAATAAGCATTGGAGAAAGGCGATTTGAAAAAACAAAGCCGAAATGAGGTTAACCGTTAGAGGTATATAACGGACAAAAATTTCGGTCGTTAGCTTAGGCGTAGTAACAAAAGACAATTTTTAATCGTCATTTGAAAAAAAAAACAAAACAAAACAAACGGTAACAGTAAAAAAAATTCCTAGCCACACTTTGTCATTTAGAGAGAGAGTCAAAAATGGCTTGTTAGGTAGACTTAATGCATCTCCGTCTCGTGGCCGGTATAGACTATTTCAGCCTTCTTTTTTTCATCTGGGAAAGAACTTTCTCGGGAGATCTTGCTACAGACCTTTAAAATGTGTTTTGTAATAATGGAAATTAATTTTGAACTTATGAAACCTTGAAACTTTTCAAAGGTTTGTTACCCGTAATGGAAGAAACTACCCAACAGAGACCCTCATAAAAAATACCTTATGCTTCGAACAATTTTGCTGAACTTGTTACGTGAAATCTGATGTTGAAAAGTCACGTGGTAACAAATTATCATCGAGTCAGTTTTATGTTGCTCTGAACTGATCATGTTCATCTCAAGGGTTTTCATTCTCCCTGATTTCGCTGCATAAACTTTTAATTAATTTTTGACTGAAAACCAGAAAGATAAAACGTTCGGTTACTTAAAAAGACGCTGGCACTCACAAAATGTAAAAGAAAAAAAACATCATTTGCAAATTCCGCACTCTTTATTCCCTGAAAATCTTCCTATGGTACAGACAGGTGAATCAGTAGCATCTCTTTTCGCATAAGATATATATTTCTCACTATCACTCTAAAAAGACTTCATGCGGAATAACTAAGCAGAATTTCCTAGGGATCATCAGCAGTATTTCACTGATATATGCGAGCATGGAGATTATTTGCGTAGATGGTCTAAATAGATAGACATAGATACAAACATACGTACAAATTAAGAAGAGAAAAACAAATAGAGGTACAATTTTGAAGTGAGCAATAAAAAAATGTTGGTTCTCTTAAAAATTTTAATAATTGACTCAATCCTCAAAAGACGGTGGTAGATTTAAATCAAAAGCTAGACAGGAGTGCATCATGATGTTTTTATTGCTGAAAACTTTTTGAAACAAAACTTGTAAAAGAAATTTGGATAGACACTGAGGAGACTTTTCCTCAACATAACTTGATTAGATGTAATATTCCATCTACGGAGCCTGTGTAATTAAGTTTCCGCACAACATTTGGTTTTTTCTGCATGCAACATCAGTTTTTTTTCGACGTTTGCATGGAACTTTATAAAAAAATTCTCACTTTATCTCCGCGTTTTCCTGAAGTGATGAGGCAGCTCTCCCCATTAACCGTTACCACAAACGCAATGAGTACCTATCCCCTTTATTAAATGGAGTTTACTTTGTGGCTTTTTAGAAATATCCATCTGCAAGTTAGCTTTTTAATTAACTCTCTCTTTATGTCTCTTTTGAAGAAGGCGTACGCCAAGGGATTAACGGCAGAGTTTAAAACGAGCACAGGTATTTTATATGTGGAATCGTTACAAGATGTTCGGTTATGGAAGATTATAGCAAAACCACAGCGCATATACATTACATAACAAACAATAAACAAGCCCACGACAATTGTCATCATTACAACTGCAGACTTCTCGTGAGGTTTAAGCAAAACTCTGTGGTTAAAACCCAACTGTCTTGCTAAAGATCGAGATGCTCTTTTGTGCTTGTACAAAATACGCACCATCGAGGCAAAGCAAAATACCTGCATAAGACACGGAAGGAGATGAAAAAATATCGTAACTAAGCAAGTAAAGAGTTTGGAGACAAGTGGGGTCTCAAAACTTAGCAACAATGATGACTCGATCAAAACAAAAATAATTGTGAACATCCAAGAAAACAAAATCATTTCAGTTACACGTCGGCGCGTCATGAATGTTACGTATTTTAGGGGCCGCACAATGGCGATGTAGCGATCCACTACCAAACTGCACAAGTTCGTTATGGACACGTCACTGAATATCCATCGTACAATCTGAGCCCACAAGAAACACGGTGTTTGAGGCCTTTTACAGCTTCTTGTTACCTCACAGAGAAACAGGGAAGGAATCACGCTAAGCCCGACACAGAAATCGGCCACTGCCAGCGAAACGATAAACGCGTTAGTTTTGGTTCTAAGCTGCCGTTTGCTGCTCACGAGTAAAATAATATATCCATTTCCAGTCATGGTCGTAATGGAAAGAAACCAACCAAGTACCCAAAACCATAGCGGTTCCGCCATGTTAATTTGATTGGTAAGCACAAAAATCCTTTCTTCTCGGGCGGTACTCGATGGTTAACCAAACCGCCGTTTCTCTACCTCCATGAGCCTTCTCACTCCCAGCTGGTCCTACGTTAGATTAAAATCTCATATTAATAACACAACATAGCAGAATGACTGATCATTGTTAGGGCTAAAATAGTAAATAAAACCCAATGTTATTAATTCAGGCAGTTAATAGTACTTTTTTTTATTCACTTACGGTATATATAGACACTGAAAAAAATTAAAACAGTAAAAGGTTCCTCAAGAGTGTGTAAAAAACTTGTATCATTCTTGAGAAAATTTCAGATTAAAAAAACCTTACTCCAATAATTTTTATGAGTGGAAATTATTTCTGTTTTAATTTTATCATGTCATTATTAATGTCGCCTAACCCTCTTAATCCTCGCTACCAATGACAGATTATTTGTCCAGCTGCAACGACATCACTCGCCTCCATCTGAACCATACTTCTATCCTGTATTTTGCATCGTCAGTAACTTACTGAAATGGCCTGAATATCTTTACGGGCCGATTTAACGATGTTGGCCAATCATCTACCGTCTAGATTTTCAAAGAAATATGTCAGGGAAATGTCATAATTATGCTCCATGGTAATCAATCATTGCCGGAAATTAACAAATAAACGTAATTTAAGCGTACTGAGCACTAGTTAATAGTTATATAGGTTCCACCGCTAGACCAGATTAAATATGGAAGATTTAATTAAGCTGCGTTTACAATTGTGATCTTTTTTACTTACCTCTTACAAGCCCCGGGCAAGCCCCGAGCAACTCCCGGGACAAGTCCAGTCCTTCTGCCCTGGGGGTGGGAATTCTTTGAAGCAGGTAACAAAATAAACGGCTTTTGTCTTTGAACAGTGTCAGGCCTTTGGCGGCACACCCCGCAACTCAAACTTCTCATGAGCGCCCCTCCGAGAATGTACGGCGGCACGAAAAATGCCAGGGGTACGAAAGGACACATGGTAACAGATAGAACTTATTGAACCGTCCTTATGTCTCCAATAGTAGGCAAATGATAACCTCCGAAAACATCATTCAGACAAAGTTAATCAAAAAAATCAAAAAATTGCACCAAAAGTCCCATAAAGTGAAGTTCCAGAAAAAATCATACCTCCTTCCCCCAACGGGAGGGCAATTTTGCATTAGATCCCCACCCCCTTGGACTTTCCACTCTCGGGGAGGCTTGTCACCACACCCCCCCCCCCCAGGGGGGGGCCATTTTTCCTTTACCCCCCCCCCCCCTTGAATTTTCCTTTTTGGGGGGGTCTTTCCCCCCCCCCCCCGCCCCCCCTGGATTTTCCGAAATTTTCCTTCTTGGTTAGGTACCCCCTGAATGGAATATTTCAGTTAAAAGTGCTGTTGCACTATACTATTATGCCAAAGATATTTGTTTATTAGCATGGGACCAGGCTCCGCATTGAGGGAAAAAGGAAAAAAACGGCGAGTGGGCTAGCGAAGCGAACGGAGAGGTAGTCTGGGGAGGCAAAGGGCGGCGCAGCCCTTTCCCCCTCTCCAGACAACCGCTGGCCTCGCTCCGCTCGCCGATGTTTTACCTATTTGACCCCGTTTTTTGACTTTTTCCACCACTGCAGAGCCTAGTCCCAGGCTTATTATAATGCGATGATTAAACAGAGAAAAAAACGACTTTTCATTCATGTTTATAAAGTGTCTAATAATCTCAATTTTGCCTTGTAGAGTTCTTTCTCAGTAAATGATTAAAGGGTAGTCACTGAGAACACGGAGAAGAGACAATTGCATTGCATATACTATCGAGTAAGACGCGAAAAACACATTCAGCCGTCCATAAATGAAGGAGTGTCGGAAATAACTGACAGCTTGCTCAACAGCGCAGCTATTAGTTTTTAATAACTCGCTAATGTTACCCGGAGCCCACGGAAAAACACCTCTAAAAGCCAACCCCCAACCCCTCGGAAATTGCCTCCTTTTTAACTCCCCTCCCATAGTAAATTCCGTTGCTCTCCGTGAGGGGGGGGGGGGATGGATATTTTCTGGAACTACAGTACACAATGTGAAAAGTAAGTGCTAAATTGTCAAAGAGTGAAAGTAAACTGGTACCGTTGTGAAGCTGATGTCGTTTAAGGCAAAAATTGTCAGGTTTAGTAAGAGCAGGTCCTTCTAAGACAAAAGCAAGAGTGAAAGAACGTTGAAGTGCATGACTGGTACATAATTTTGTTCAAATACCAAACGTTTATTCAGAGACAATAAACGCTATTAAGACATACATATTCTTCTATAGTAAAAAATAAATTGATGTTGAATCATAGTATTTGTCACAAGCGATAACGCCAAGGTCCTTTCACAATTAAGTTTGGTTGGTTCAGATTTTTTTCTACCAGAAGGTTGATCAAAATGACAGAGTCAGCGGGTTAACTGAAATAGAAATTTTAGATAGTTCACGATTTGATTGTTTATAAGAGTACGTAGTGCCTGTTGTATATTCAGCTACAGCTAATATTTATATAAGGTGATACAAAAGCTAACCTACAACGTTTTCATATGCTCAGTTATGCTTAAAACAGTCGAACCTCCATTTGTGACCACCTCCCATAAGCGAACGCCAATTCAAAAGACCAACACTTTCCCAGTCAAAGCCTTACAGTTGGAACCTCTAGTAAGCGAGCATCTCCTGTAAGCGACCGCACCACTTTTTGGGCCTGAAAGTTTTATTATTTTCCATTGTTTAAAACCTCTTGTAAGCGACCACTTGACGCATTCTATGAAATTTATGTCCGCTGTGTGTACTATGCTGCTTAGAATATACGACCTGTACGAAGAACTTTAGAAACAACAGGGAACTACACATGCATGGCGTAACTTAGAAATTGCATGCGATATATTGTCTTCTCGGAAATGGCGCCCTGTGGTTCGATTCTTGTAAGCGATAACCTCCCGTAAGTGAACACTAAGTTTTTGCATTTTGGGTGGTCGCTTACGGGAGGTTGGACTGTACATGATTTAATATACTTACTTATGGTTAATGGCATGTCAATTATACCTTTTAGAGGCCTTTACAAGAAAAAAAACGACAAGGAATATATTTTACGTTTGATTGACTCAAATTCTTTGCCTCCATAGAGAAACCTCTCATATTCGATTTACCAACATTTTTATCAAGATGTGTGGTTTGCACAGGAGTCGCTTTCAGCACTGAGTAGAAAAACACCGCATACTTGTTACCTATCAGCTCCAGAAAAGTTTTTTTTTTTAACTTAATAGTTGAAGCAAAACATAAACATTTACAAAACGGGAATATGTAAGGCTCTGGTAGCAAAGAAACAAGCACAACTTGACAATGAAATCTCAGTTAGTTCCTCGAAAATGATTCAGGCGCTCCGTTGGCACATACTATCTGAATACAAAGAGCAACTGAATCGTAAGTCACGGGTGGATCGAAAGGATATATAGGATAATGCCTGAGCTCCGAGGCCTTCTTAAAATTAATTGCAGGCCCCGGGACCAAGCGCGCAGCGCGAGGTAATTATTTTTAAGAAGCTAGGCCGAGAAGTGAGGGCATTATACACCTCTCTGTATTTTTATGAACTAAAGTATTTATAATATGCTATAGAGAGAAGTGTAAGGCATGGTAGTTTTACGATTCCGCCCAACCATCCGGGTGGTATGGCAAATATATAGACAGAAGAACATAGGAGAATTACCAACCAATGACGAGTGACTGACGTAACTGTTTAAACCAATGAACAACAGACCTTATTTAGTTCATTTGAATATGACTTTGTTTTCAAGTTACAATAAAGTATTTACGTGGTAACAATGAAACTATATATGCACCTTTTGTTTTCACAAACAATAAAAGTGCAATATAGTAACATTTTGCGAGAAGAATAAAAACACGTCAAACTAAACTTAAACTTTTAAAAAAAACTTGGAAGCGGTCTCATATACAGTTAAGTAAGCCCCTCTGGTTGACCATTGAAAAAGTTAGGGCGGAGTAGTCTATCCTTCGAAACTTCTGTTTTCATGGTAGCCATTTTTTTGGCTTAGACGATTTTGTGCAAATCTGAACAAAATATATTCGGTAGTTATATGTCAATAGCACTTTGGAATTGAACATACTCAAACACACGGTAAATTGATTTTATCTGTGAAACCTTCACGCAAATCGATCATAGAATGTTACTGGCCATAGGCATCAAGCTTATACTGAGGCTATGTCCACAAGAATTCTTTTTAGTTAGTAAACGCTTAAAATGCTTTTTGTTTATAACTGTCTTCATGACAACAACTGTTTCAACTGTTTCGACTGTTTATTAATTATTGCAAATTTTACAGCAAGCAATATCCACTGCCCGCAGTCAGCAGATTAGCTAGTCGAGGCGAGCAGTGGTTACACTATATTATATGTGACCTGCGACCTTTGACCAGCCTTAAACTTATCTCGAATGCAAATACTCTGCAAGATTTGCCAAAGCTCTGAAAGTTTACAAGGTACTTGTCTTAAACGACTGGTTTGAAATTGTGAGATCATTTTTCACAATGGCGCTGGCATTCAATTTTACAGGCTTTTTCAATAATCTTAGTTTTGTCATCTGCAAGGCATCTTTTAACACACCATTCGCAAACGCGGTCAGGATCTGCAAAAGATTTTCAATTAAAATCCAGATGGAACTAAGGAAGTAATGTTTTCTAAGAAGGTAAACCAACAACAATTTTTAGGAGTTTATCGGTGCAACCTAGCCAAAAAGCATCGAAAACGTAACAGAGACAATAAAACGCCCCTGACGTGCACTTTGCATTTTGGTTCATACTCCACCTTTCCCTGAGCCCCTATGACAAATTAAAAAAAAGGGGACGGGTAGAGGAGAAAACGCTAAAAGGTTAAAGTGAGAGAGATATTGGGGACTCCTTTTCCCCTTTATGTTCGCCCTCCCCCGCCCGCTTCTCTACAAAAACAAACACTCAAAATTTATTGCGTTC